CGTGGGGTCAACTCACACCCCCGACGGATGGTGCAACACAACACGCCGACAAAGTTTGTGGCGCACTGTCCCCCCGACCCCGCCAGTGCGGGACAGAACAGTTCCCGCAGAGCGGCGGTCCCGCGCCTCGAGCTCGGGTCACGCCCGAGCAGCGCTGCGTCTCTCCGCCCCTCCCCTAGCCCCTCCCCCACCTCAAAATGCGCCACCCACCCTTCGTTCGGCTGTGTGAGCAGCTCCCGGCGGGACCTCGAGGGACCGCACGCGCGCCCGCGCGGCGCGGGGCCCAGCCCACAGCCACGATCGCTCACGAGAGAACGCACCCCACAGTACGAGAGACCCTTCCCCATGGCTGCCACTGCGCCAGCTGTCCTTGCGCGCGGGCTAGGCCGCCTCCCGCGCCATGGCCCTCGCAGCGGCACCTGACGCGCGCCTCGCCTTGGCTGCGGCGAGCGCCGCCTCTGCCGCCGCCGCCGCCGCTGCCGCCTCTTCCGCCGCCGCCTCTGCCGCCGCTACTGCCGCCTCCTCCGCCTCCTCCGCCGCTGCGGCAGCCTCCTCCTCCTCTGCCGCCGCCACGGCCGCAGCCTCCGCCGCAGCCTGCCGGCGCGCCTCCGCTGCCGCCTCCGCTGCCGCCTCCTCGCCCTCCTCCTCGCCCTCCTCCTCGCCCTCCTCCTCGCCCTCCTCGTCGGCCGCCTCCGCCGTCTCCTCGCCGCCCTCCTCCTCGCTCGCCTCGCCCGCCGCCTCTCCCAGCGCCTCCGCCAATCCCTCGACCGACGTCTCCGGCGTGATGCCGAACCGGATCCTGTCCTCGTGGAGCTCCGCAAGAAGCTTGAGCAGCCCCTCCCTGTCCAACGGCGCGGGCTTGGCTGCGGCTGCCTCTGCCGGCGCGGATTCCTGCGACGGCCCAGCACCGCCGCTCCCGCCGCCCTTCTTCTTCTTCTTCTTCTTGCCCTTCTTGCCCTTGGCGCGCTTCTCCGCCTCGACCTCCGCCAGCAGCTCGTCGGCGTGCCGCGCCGCCTCCTTCTCCTCCGCCGCCCTCTGCGCCTCCCTCTCCGCCGCGCCCGCAGCCCACGCCGCCTCCTTCGCCGCCTTCTCGGCCGCCGCCTTGGCCGCCGCATGCTCCTCGAGGGCGCGCACGCACTCGGTGTGGCCCTGTTGCTTGGCGTACTGCAGCGCGGTCTTGCCCTTCTCAGAGCGCAGCGTGATGTCAGCGCCCGCCCGCAGCAGCTGACGCACGACGATGGGGTAGCCGTGATAAGCGGCGAGAGTCAGAGCGGTGTCGCCGTTGTTGGTCTGCAGGTTGATCTCTGCGCCGTGCCGGATCAGCGTGTCGACCACCCGCTCGTAGCCTTTGTAGGCGGCGGCCATCAGCGCAGTGCAGCCACTGCTGTTCTTCCGATCGACCTCCGCGCCGTGCCGCACTGCCAGCTCGACCATCTTCTCGTGGCCGTTCAAGGCGGCGAGGCTCAGCGCGGTGCCACCGCCGCTCTTCTGCAACGAGACATCTGCCCCGCGCCGCAGAAGCGCCTCAGCCAGCTCCGCGTGGCCATTGGCCATTATAAGCACCAGCAGCGTCATGCCGCTCGCAGGGCCGTCCGCAAAGACGTACTCGAACGTCGCGTCGACCCACCCGCCGCCGTCGAGCCACGCCAGCACCGGGAATCCGTCGCCTCGCTCAGCCGCTTCCACAACCTCCTCTGGCACCGCCTCGCTGCCCGGCGCGGTCTCTGCGCCGCCCTCGCCGCTCAAAGCAGAGGCCGCGGCACTGGCGCCCGCCGCCGCCTCGACCTCCGGTGCGCCGTTCGCCCCTGCGCCGTTCGCCTCGGCCGCCGCCGCCTTGCTCCGAGCTGCCGTCACCTCCCCGAGATACGTCCTGAAGGCCTCGACGCACTCGGCGTGGTCCTTCTCTTTGGCGATCTGCAGCGCCGTCCTGCCGCTAGAGCGCAGCGTCATGCCTGCGCCCGCCCGCAACAGGCGGAGCACGACGGCGGGACGGCCGTAGCGCGCGGCGAGCATCAGCGCGGTGTGGCCGTCGCTGTCTTGAAGGTTGATCTCCGCCCCGTGCTGAATCAGCACGTCGACCACCCGCTCGTGGCCCTCGAGGGCGGCGGACATCAACGCGGTGCCGCCTTCGCGGTCCTGCAGGTTGATCCCTGCGCCGTGCCGCAGCAGCATCTCGGTCACGCGCTCGTCGCCGTTGGCGGCGGCGAACATCAGCGCCGTACTGTCGTCGCTGTCTCGCGCGTCCACCTCCGCGCCGCGCTTCAGCAGCACTTCAACCAGCTCTTTGTGGCCGTGTTCGGCGGCGATCAGCAGGAGCGTACAGCCGCTCACACCGCGATGCACGCACGTCGCGTCAACCAGCCCATCCCCGGCGAGCCACGTCTGCACCACGCCGACCTTGCCGTCCTCCGCCGCCGCCTCGATCCTTTTCGGCAGCGAGAGCGGCGCAGCAGTAGCCGCCGTTGAAGCGTGCCCGCGCCGGGAGCCGGCCGAGCCAGCCTTCGTCCGGCCGGGCATGCAAACGGGCGGGGTTGCGGTGCTGAGCTGCCTCCCGCGCTGGGCGGCTTCCGAAAAAAAGAACTCCCTCCGTATTTCTCTTTCGTACCGCGGCGGCACCCTTCCGCCACACCTCTGTGGCACCCCCCCCCCTCTCTTGGCGCTTTCTTAAGCGCCTGAGCTCCTCCCGAGGCTGAGCTCATCCCTGCATCTCTGCAGAATGTCCCTTGAAACGTGAGAAAAAAGAAAGAAACAAGCAAAACGGACAACCCAAGGGAGGGATGGGAGGACGGCACGCCGCCACCACACAGGGATTTTAAGGAGAGGTGTGTGGTGCGCTAGCCGTCGCCCACCCTAGGTGCGTTGTGTTCTGTCCACCCTTTCTCTTTCTCGTGTGTGGTGCTGGGCCGGCCGCATCCCGCTCCCGAAGAGCTTAACACCGCACCCGCACCCGGTCTCTCATGCTCCTCGGCTCAGCGGTCGACATCGTCCTCTCCTCGGTCGAGGAGCGGTACGAGCTCGGCGACATGATTGGAGTCGGCCACTTCTCGCAGGTGCACTGCGCACGGCCCGCCGGCAGCCTCGGAGAGCACTCGATCGCACTCAAAGGGATCGAGCAGTCCGTGCTGAACGACGACGAGGAGGCTCTCGCGATGCTCGTCGGCGAGTGCCGCGCGCTGCGGCTCGCCTCCGAGTGCTCCGCCCTCCAGTCGCGGGTGGTCCGCCTGCGTGAGGTGCTCGGTACGCCCTCGAGTGTCTATCTCGTCCTGGACCGTGTCGCCGGCGTCGAGCTCTTCACGCTCGTCGAGCGGCATGGAGCGCTGCCCGAGCCGTTTGTCGCGCCGCTGATGGCGCAGCTCTGCCACGCGCTCGCCGCGCTGCACTCGATCGGCGTCGTTCACTGCGACGTCAAGCCAGAGAACCTCATCATCTCGCACTACCCGGCGTCGCAGCATCATCGGCCCGGCGGGGAGGAGGGACTGGTGGGCGGGCGGAGGGCGGACAGGGAGGGGCGGGAGGCGGACGGCGAGTCGTCTCTGCCGCCGCAGCTCACGCTGATCGACTTTGGGTACGCGGCGACGCTCGCAGAGGGCGAGAGCTGCGAGGGGCTCGCTGGGTCGCCAGAGTACGCCGCGCCCGAGGTGCTCACCTGGCTCAGCCGCGACCGCCGCGGAGAGCCGTACGGCGGCCCCGCCGACGTCTGGTCGGCGGCGGTGACTGCGCACGTCCTGCTGACGGCCGAGCTGCCCTTCGAGCTGCCCGACGCGGAGGACGCAGACGAGGAGGCGCTCGCGGAGGCGGCACGCCTCACCTCCCTCTCCTTCGAGCAGCCGGAGTGGGCCCTCGCGGAGCAGGCGAGGGCGTGGGTCGCGGCCTGCATGGCGCCCAGCCAGGCCGACCGACCGACCGCCTCGGAGGCGCGCGCGCTGCCCTGGCTGCAGAGGCACCCGGGCGACGTGACAGAGAGCGGCGGCGGCGAGGAGGGGCGGTTGAAACCTGCTCCGTGCACTCCGCCCCCGGTGGAGCTCAATGCCTCAATACCCGATGGCTGTGACGAGGCCTGACAGCGACCGTGGGGGCGATGCTGCGCCACCGCTGCGCGCGTGACGACGCGAACTCGCGTGAATGTTTCGAGCCTGTGTGTGTGTATATGTGTATCTACACCTATGACCTAATAATGTGTCCTATGCAGAGCAGTATGTAGAAAAAAAAATTGCTAACGCGAAAAACCGGCACACCAATCTCCCTTCCTCTCCCTATCCTTTCTTGGAGCTCTAGAGTCCACACCCCCCTGCCCCGGGATCGCGTACAAGCTGAGGCTACCGTAGGCCACACTAGCGTCGCTGGGGGTTCCCTGCCCTAGATGGGAAGCTGGCCGCTGATCCGAAGACCGACTGCACCAGGGCGCCTAGATATACTCAAGGTGAGCGAGGGTGAAGTTACGCCTTAAATGCCTGTCTCTCTACTGTGGACCTTACTCCGAGCTCGACGGCTCCTCCTATTCCCCCACCCCCCCTCCCCCCCCACTCTCTCCGAGTAAGGGCGTGCGCTACGTCCCCAAGGGGGGGGGGACGTGGGGGGGAGGTGTGACTTTTAGGTTGTAGCGTTTGGGTTTTTGTGGGGCACCCAAACGGTTTCGGTTTTCCTCCTTGGTGCCCCGAGTAGAGCGCGATCTCCCCTGGAGTCTGTCGCGCCCGTTCTGTCTAAGCTCGAGGTTCAACCTTCCAGTTGATCCTTATCGGACTGGTGAGGTCTGCCTAGCCGTCGTAGTGTAGTGCCTGGGGTGCGTCTGCGTCGGTGCTACACACACTCGGCAGGACGCTGCTGTAAATCGTTGCTGCTGGTCGTCGCTGTTTGTTAAACGATTTTCGCTTTTCTTTTTATGCTTATGGCAGTAAAAAGAAACGGAAACCTGTGCGGCAGGCGCGGGCTCGGTCGATATCCCATACTTCGACTCACATCTTCACTGCTGCGGTGTGTGCCCGGGGAGGCGCGGCGGCGGGGTGGATTGAGAAGGTCTCAGAATGCAGAGAAGCTGCAGGCGTGCAGAGGCGCGCGCTGCAGTTTCTCTGATCGGGCTGCTGGCGGTGTGCGCGAGACGGCGTGGTGAGGCGTGAGGCAGGCTATTGTAGTGGGGTGCGGGCTGCGTCTAAGCGTATGCGTGCACATGGTGCTGTATGCTGTGTGTGCAGGCAGGCTGACAGGCTGTGCACAGCAGACTGGGCGGATGAGCGAGCGCGCGTGCGGGCGTGCGTGCGCGCCTGGGCCTGCGCGGTGCCGTCGCACTCGCGGCGCGTCCTAGTACAGCCGCTTGTGGGATGCCAGAAGCAGTCTGCAGAGCCTGCACAGGGCGCAAAAAGGCGCAGGTGTGCTGGTGAGGTGTGCTGCGGCGCGCGCGTCGGCGTGAGTGGATATGCGGCTTGCTCTGGTGGTGCGAGGGGCGCGCAGCTGGTGCGGGCGGCGCGGGACGGCCATGGGGCGCCAGCACAGGGCAGACGCACATGGCACAGCTCTGAAATGGCGCTGCGCGTGTTTGCGTGCGCGCGGGGACGTACGCGCAGTTTTCACGCGGTGTGCGTGGAGAAGGGCATGAGAGGCGCCGGCCGCGCGTGTGTTGTCGTGTGGGAGTTCGGAGTATGCCCGGAGGGCGGGGTGGTTTAGGGCGACTAGACTTCGCACTGGCGCCGGAGGCCCCAGATATGAAGAAAAGTGAGAGCAGTATGTAGAGTACTGCACGGCTTGCGTGCGCTACGAAGGGTGATCTGCTTGTGAGCTGTGACTCTCGTTATTGTATATTGAGGGTCCCGTGTGCCGCGTGTGAATCGAGACCAAAACGCTTTTTTTCTCTAATCTCTTCGCGACACGTTGTGTCAAGCGTCACATAGCTTACACACTTACACATGTCACACCGCAGTCCGCACAACTCGCGATGACACACTGCACCCAAATACTCGTTGCGAAGCGGAGCGAGACGAATCACGCCACTAGCACGACTTAAAGCACAAAATAAGCAAAAACCAAGCGCCATCTCGCCCTCTTTGCAGGGGGGGCTGCGGTCAGAGCGAGTAGGTGACGGAGCAGGTGAAGAGGCGGCAGCGCATCTCCTTGCCGTAGAGGCGCCACTCGCCCGGCGCGTCGACCCGCTCGAGCACGACCGTCGCAAAGGGCGGAAGCGTGTAGCCGGGCCCGCTCCTGCTGCGCAGCCCCTCCCCGGGGGCATCCTGGATGAGCGAGTGGAAGCCGCGCGCGTCGGCGCGCCGGTTGACGAAGCGGACAACCTCGGACGCGTGCACCTGGCGGGAGGGGGAGAGGCGCCGTGCGAGGTGCAGGGGCGGGGGTCGACCCTGGGCGGACCCTCTCTTTCCGGCACACGTCCCTTGCTCACCGGCGTCTCACTCTCGTCGTTGTGGATCAGGAACCCCTCGCCCGAGCCGAGCGCGTACCGCGACGCCTCCTCGGCGTTGACAAAGGAGCGCGTCCGTAGCGTGAGCCCGGCCTTCGCCTTCCTCCGCAGCAGCGCGCCTACGGCAAGGCCCCGAGAGAGCTCCGAGGAGGCGCGGCGCCGCCTCTGCCCTCCGCAGCAGCCCCGCCCCACGCAGCGTCCTCCTCTAGCAGGCATCCGGGCCCGGTCCCCCACGCCTCGGGCGGCAGCGAGAGGGGAGAGTAGAGGTGCGGCGGCGCGGGGCCGGACTGGCGCAGCGCCGCCGCCGCCAGTGCGTCGCACACGGCCCACACAGACGCCGGAAAGGGCACCGGGCGGCCCAGCGCCACCGGCAGCCTGTATCGCGGCCGGCCCGCAAACGTCTTGATCCGGCTGAGGGAGCGGCTCATCGCGGCGCCCGAGGTCATCAGCAGCGTGACCACCTCTGCGTGCTGCCTGCTCCAGCCGGCCACGCCCACGCGCCACTCGATGTCGCCCGCGTTGGCCGAGAGGCACGCGTCGACCGACCGCTCTCCGCCCGCGCCGAAGAACTCGGCGCAAAAGTCGAGGTGCTCGGAGCCCCACGCCTCGCCCGTCAGCAGCTGGTAGAGCCGAAAGTCCTCCGTCTGCAGTGCGACGTACTCGTCCCGCCACCCGGCTCGCACGCTCGAGCGCGGGCAGCCGAGCTGCCGCTCGAGCGCCTCGGCGGTGCCGAGGGCGCGGAGGCGGTTGTACGGCGTGCCGGGCGGCGGCAAGGGCGAGGGCTTGCGCCGCCGCAGCAGCAGGGCCGCCGCGCCGCTCGCCGCAGCGCGCAGCCTGGCGCAGCAGCAGCACGCGCGCGCCAAGTCGATGGCTGGCAGGAGCTGCAGGAGGTGCATGAGGACCTCGTCGTCGAGGAGGTCGAGCAGGGCCGCCGGCGAGGAGGGAACGGCGAGGCGGCGGCGGGGCGCGGCGCGCTTTGCCATACACACACTCTCTCTCGTGCTCACTGGACGGCGTGCTTACTGCTGCTGTTACGTCTTCGGTCCCCGGGAAGTCCCGCGCATAGGACAACAACGTCTGTCCCACACACACACACAGACGCGCACATACATCATGCTCGGGCACACCCCACAGTGTAGTGGTGTGAGTACACAAGTACTAGCAGAGTGCACACCTGCCTTGGCGGGTGAGGGTCGTAAGAATCAAACAAAGCCTCTTGGTGCCAAACGTGCTCGAGCGCGCCGAAGAGAGACGATCTACGCTCGAGGGAGTTAGCGAAAGTCGCACGGGCAGAGGGGAGACCGAGGCCTCCGGCAGTCCGCACCGCCTCGCGAAAGGGAAGCAACGATCAATCCAGCTTGTTGGCGTGCGAACCACCGTGGCGCGTGGGTACCCGCGTTTCTTTTTTGCAACTTCGCGGCGCTCGTCTTCGGAAAGACCGGGGGGGGGGGGCAGATGTGGACGACTGTTTTGAGGATGCATCCTCGCTGGGTCGAGGGGCGTTCACGCGCGCGCGAGACGCGTGCAGACAGGGTTGCCAGGTGATGTTTGTTCCGTGTGTGCTTGGGGGGGGCGACAGGGGGGGGCGGCGTGGCCCTGAGTGATGTGTACGCCCACTCAGGGTGTGTGGCAGCCAGCTGGCTGTGTGTCTTGTGAGGGCCTGTTTGTGTCTGTGTGTCGCTCGTGCGTGTCGTCATCATCTGTCCCGCGTCCACCCATACCGCGTTGGGCACGACACTGGCGCTGATTTGGTTTCGAACGCTGTTTTCTTTGTCTGTGCGTGCCGCGTTGGTGTCCAGTCCGAGCCTGACTGTTCTTCACCTTCCTCCCTATGTATGTTGGTAGGGAGGTGATGAGGAGTCAGTTATGCGCGGCGGGCGGTTAGACGTTACGGGGCGAATCGAACGTTCGGAGGCTTCGTGTCTCATTGCGTCAGGCTCACGACCGACACCCACCGGAGACCTAACCTAACTGCCCAAGACGGGCTCTGGCACGGTCGAGACGCTGCCGACGCTCTTGGGCCGCCGCAGCTGGCCGACTCGTTTGGCTACAATGGTGGCTGCCATGACAACAACTTGCGGCCCCGTCTACTTTATTGATTGAGTTGCCCTGCACCGCGCGCGACGCTTTGTTTGCCGCCGCTGCCAACGCCGCCTCGTGCCACGTGGCCGCGAGCAGCCGCGGCGGCGGCGGCAGCTCAGCGTGCAGCGGCGCAGTGGCAGTAAAGTCGAAGTAAAGGAAGCGGCTTCTTTTGGTGGTATATGTTAAGAATCACTTTTTCGGTTGTTGTTAAGACACTGAAAAAAGAAAACACGGAATTCTGGCGGCTGCACTCCCAACGACATCGGGTTCAGGCGCAGCCGATGGCCGAACCGCCTCGCCAAGACCCCGACATCGCCTCGCGTGTGCTGTCGGGCATCTACGAGCTCGCCTGCTCGTCGGGGCGCGGCGAGCCCATGCCCCGCGCCGTGGCCGACCTCCTCGAGCAGCGGGGCGTGCAGCCCGCCGACGCGCGCGCCGAGAACTGGAAGCGGGTGCGTCAGCTGCAGACCGTCTCCGCCGGCGCGACGCCGCTCGGCGAAGCGCTGGGTGCGCTCGACAGGCTCGTTGCGTCCCTCGGCATCGACGACGCATCCGAAGCGTTGGTCGGCCTCCGGGTGGAGCTGCGCATGCAGGCGGGGCCTGCCACCGCAGCCGGCCCGGCCGCTGCTGCGCATAACTCACGCGACCCCGCCCCGCGCCGTCCAGGTCGTGCTGGAGCACCTGCGCGCGACGCCCGCCAGCTGGAGGGAGGGCAAGCGCGCCCTCGACCGCCACTTCTCCCGCCCGCGCTTCAAGGCGGAGAAGTCGTGCGTGAGGCTCCTCACCGACGCGCTCGAGAGCGCGTGCAAGGGGGAGGTGCCGCGTCCTCCGCAGCGGAGGGTGTGCAGCGTGGCGCACCGCGTGCGACGCGACGCGGGCGCGGCCCTCCCTCCCGTGTCCCCCTCGCAGGTTGCAAAGGCAGCCCCTCTCCTCCAGCGGCACTCGGCCGAGCACCTGCAGGCCCTCGCACCACCCCCGCCTTGCGACCGCACGCCCCACGCCTCGCACCACCGGCCTCGCACCACCGGCCTCGCACCATCCGCGTCACCCCTCCCCCCACCCTCCCCTCCCCCTCCTCTCCGCCGCCTCTCCCCTCCCCTGGCCCGCCCGCCCGCCCACCACGCCACCGCCCTCCCGCCTCCCCTCCTCCTCCCTCCTCCCCTCCTCCTCCCTCCTCCTCCTCCTCCGCAGGGCATGATCGACGAGTACCTCTCCGACCACGTCCGCCCTCTCCTGCCTCACCCTCGGCTGATCAGCATCGAGCTCGGAGAGGGCGAGGACTGCGCCGACAAGGACCGCGCCGACGAGGACCGCGCCCGCGACAAGGAGGGCGCCGACGAGGAGGGCGCCGACGAGGGCGAGGCGGCCCGCCCGCCACAGGAGGCGCCGACGGTGCGCGGGGCGCGCGCGCAAGCACGCGCACGCGCGGCCCCTGCGGAGGCGGAGGAGGCGGTCGCGGACGCGGACGCGGACGCGGCGGCGGAGGCGGAGGCGGAGGCGGAGGCGGAGGCGGGCCCATCTGACGGCGGGCGGGCGGGGCGGGGTGCAGGGCGGGGTGCGGGGCAGCGAAGTGTGGAGGAGCTGTCGATGGCGGACCTGGACCGGATCGAGGCGGAGAAGCTGGCCAAGGCAGCGGAGCTGCGCGCGGCGGCGCTGAGGGAGGAGCAGGAGGCGGAGGCGGCGAAGGCGGCAAAGGCGCGCATCCTCCAGCAGCAGAGGCAGGCGGAGCGGAGGGCGGAGGCGGCCGAGGCGGAGAGGGTGGCGGCCGAGGCGGCGGCAGCCAAGGCAGCCAGGGCGGCCAGGGCGGCCAGGGCGGCGGCGGCCGCCGCAGCCGCTGCAGCCGCCGCCGACCGAGCCTGGGACTCGGGGGCGGAGGAGGAGGGGGGGGAGGAGGAGGCGCAGAGTGGGAGTGCGGCCGAGCTCGCGCGCGGCACCGCCCGGCTGGCGCGCGGCGTCGTGGACCCGCTGCCCGCCGCCCTCTCCGAGGCGACGGCGCTGGGGAAGCGGAAGGCGGGCGCGGCGGCGGGCGGTGCGGCGGCGGGCGGTGCGGCGGCTGGCCGCCAAGAGACGGGCCGAGGGGGCGGCGGCTCGTCGTCTGCTGCGGACCCGGTGCACAGCACGCGGCGCGGGAAGAGCATCCCTTGGAACGAGTCGGGCGACCGGATCGAGGACGAGATCGAGGCGAGATGCAGCCGAGATGCAGCCGAGATACAGGGCGAGATCGAGGCCGCCCCTCCCGCGCCGCCCCCGCCGCCCCTCCTTTGCCCTCTTCTCCCCTTCCCACCTCCCTCCGCCCCTCCTCCCTCCGCCCCTCCTCCCTCCGCCCCTCTCCCTCGCCTCTGGCTGAGCGGTGGCGCGCACCCGCGCGCAGGACTCGGACGGCGATGACTCTGGCGGACCCGGACCCACCGTCGCCAAGCAGGCCCGCACGGGCGGCAAGCAGCCGCAGTCCAAGTGCGGCCGGCTGCGGTGGACGTCGGAGGAGGTGGAGCAGCTCAAGCGGGGGTACCAAAAGTACGGCGAGGGACGCTGGGCAGACATCCTACGCGAGTTCAAGTTCCACAAGCACCGCACGAATGCGCGCCGACCCGTCCCACCCTCCCCGCCGCCCGCCCGCCCGCCCGCCCCCCGCCCGCCTCCCTCCCGCTTGCCGCGCCGCGCCGCATGGGAGTCATTGACGCGCGCCCGACGACGCCACGCCGCCAGGTCCACCTCAAGGACAAGTGGAGGAACCTGAACAAGTAAGGCTGCAGTGCGAGGGGCGCAGGCTCCGACTCGAGCTGCTGCTGTCAGAGCCTCCCTCCCCTCCCTCCACGGGGCGGGGCTCCCCCTGGCTCGTGTGCGGCGTTAGTTGCCGCCGGAAGGCCGGCCAGGGTCGCTAGTGTCCCGCCCGACCTACAGGCTTGCTCTCTTTGGACCACGCTCTGGCCACGCCTTCGCCCACGCGGAGGGGCTAGAGCAGACCAGCGCGTCCACACAGCGGGCTAGACCTAGAGCAGGATCCGCGAGCGAGAGTGTCCCATACTTCCGACTTTATACAGTAGTAGCTGTTGCGGAGGAGACACACACATCACACATGCACATGACATGTACAACATGTGCATGTGCGTGTATGTGTGTTCATTTTCATGGAATGCGAGCCGGCAACCCGTCGCAAGAAAATTAAAGAGAATATGGAGACCCCACTCGAGCGCGTCATGCATTCCGCGCGGTGCCGGGACGGACATGGAGGCGTGGCCCTGGAGGAGCGGGAAGAGAGCCAGCATATACAAACGAATGTAGAAGGAAGAAGGTGGGCCGTGCCACAAAACTTCAAAGCCGCCAAAAGGAAAGTCGATCAAACAACCACGAAAAGTATGAAACGGAGTGACATATTCGCATTCACAGCGTGTTCGCAAAAATCCCAAAAAACCTCGACTCCTGCAGCGTCCTGACTCTGATCGTCCTGGCTGTGCATATCATCGTCCAAAACTCAGCCAACATCGCAGCCATGGGCTGTACGAGCAGACCATCGTCGTCAAATCAACCCCTCGAGCACCTTGAGAACACCATGCGACTCCGGCCCTCCCTCGTGGAGTACGCCGACTTGCAGCGAATTAGCTTGGCCGCCGACGCTGATGCCATTGATGCCTTGTACGTGGCTCTGGATTGGGCGGAGCATGCCGCGTTGCCGGCGTTGTCGTCCAAGGTCTTGGCCTCCAAGGGCCGGATCTTTCAATATAAGCAGCCGCAGCAGGCTCTCAGCCGAGTCTGCGGCCTGGCCGCGGTGCTGCGGTTCGAAATGGACGGTGCCGACGACGACAAGGAAACCGCGCATTTGTCGGAGTCGGCGACTTCGGAGCCTTCGATGCTTCCCGCTACGCGCACGCTCTCCAGCGTGTTACCGTGGGCGCGATGGACCACGACAACCGTTCCGGATGACGAAGACGACGCTGATGCAGAGCTGCTGCTCCTCGCTGCCATGTTTTCCGCAGACCGCAAGGTCCGCTTCGTCGAGAAAAATCGTTTCCTCTTACTCGTCGACGGCGCTACGCACTGCGAGGACTGGCTCGTGCTGGATGTCACGATTCCGACCGGCTACTCCAGCGGTGCAAGTATGCCAGTCGTCCTCGTTTCTCAGGTCAGCATTGCTGGGTCCAGCCCCGAGTGCAAGCAGCACGTGTTCGCCCCAGAGGCGCATCCCGCTGATGAGCAGTCCAACGAGCCGCAGCCTATGCTGCTTGATATCTACGAGAAAGCCCGGGACTGGCTGGAAGGGCAGCGCGTATCGGCAGCAGGTACTATGGCTGACAGTGTGCCCTGTGGCTGTAAAAATTAACACAAAATCTAACGCTGTCCAGCTCGCAAAATGAAAATCGAATAAAATACACCCTCATATACACCCTCATGAGTATATACACTTGGTTGCTTCCCCCGGGGTTAGTCTTCTCTGCCTGCGGGAACTCTCTGGGCGGCGAGTGGGGCTAGACGCACAAAATCCATCTTTGTGGGATTTCGCGCAATCGCGCTTGACTCTGAAAAGCTCGCATGCTGCGAGCGCTGTGATCGCCGCAGACTGGCTCCGACTTGACGGGCGCATGGAGACGTGATGCCTCCATGCCGCCGTCGCGTCGAAATCGACATGTGAGTCGATCTTTGGCCCGCCAGAGGTACATGCGGCGTTTCGGGCGACAACAGCGCTGCGACCGCGAAGTGCAAGTGGCGGTGGACATGATCCCATGTTGCCGACGCGGCGCCGGAGTGGCCGGCGCTGCTCGCCGCGACCACGACGGCTACTCTGATACTCCGGGCCGACCCGTCCTACCCGGCGGTGGCACTCTTCCACGTCTCGCTCACGCTGAGAAAAATTCTGAAACGGCGTGCAGCAGAGTCACCGACGAGTCGGTCCGCGTGACTCCTCGTGTCCCGCACCGTTCTCACACATCCATAAACTCACTTTGGCCTCACTGAAGCAAGCCCTCAATCCTGAATCCTCAGATTTGAGATTAGGACGCTGTCGACCCTCTAGCTGGGGTTGCGGCTGGAGCTAGCATGGCTCGATGGAGCCGGGACCCCGTGCATGGCTCGATAGAGCCGAGACCCCGTGTTGAGGTGGCGCTCCTTCGGGCGGCTGTTGAATCAGCAGATTCAACCTCATATCTCCAGTGTTCTCATCCCAGTGGATGGACGTCCGTACGTCCCTTTGTGTTCCTCTCCCCGTCCGCCAGCGAGACGCTCAGTCGCTGGCGGCCGCAGTTTTCTGTGACCCACCCACCTCTCCCTTGTGTTTTGTCTGGCGAGGGGCTTCTCCTGCGGAGTCGTGCGTGCGCAGGGCTCCTCTTTGCTTTCTTCTACTCCCCACGTCCGGTTGGATGCTGGGAGGTACAGGGAGGATTGTGTGGAGATAGGTAGGAGAAGCTCACACTCAGCGATGTGTTTAGGAGGAATGTGCTTTGCATGAAGGCTGTCACTCGGCTCGTCTTTCTTGTGGGCGGGTCCAGAGATGCGTCAAGAGACAGAGGCAGAGGATGATGGAAAATCTGTCAGCAGTTCCCCCTGGGGTACGTTTGTAAAAGCTACATACCCTGAAAAGGGTGGGATGGGGGCTAACCCTTTCCGGATCTCGGGTTACGGGTCCCATGGGGAATGGCCCCTATCCAGGGGGAAAGGGGAAGTTGGGAAAAACGTTTTCGAGTTGCAAAGTTTGTTTTGTTCGATGGGGGGGACCCCCCTTACCCCTTCCCCCGGCCCCCCCCCCCCTTTTTGGGGGGGGGGGCTTTTTCTTGGTCCGGCCCATTCGGCACCCCCCCCCCCCCCCCCGCGGTTGGCAGGCAAGAGGCAGCACAACTCAGAACGATGAGCTTGCTCATCCCGGAGTGGTTCGACTCCACACAAATCCGAGGCGGTGACGGGTACTGTCCCGGCGGTCTCAGGCCCAGTGGTTTAGTAGTGCGCCAGACCTCCCCGGATCCTGCTGAACAAGTTCCTCTTGTAGCTCGATCGGTCACACCGCCATCGCCGTCGGGGAGAGGGGGGACGACACTGCCTCGGCAGCGTGCACCTCGATCCTGTACCGTGTTTGTTATGACCCCCCCCAGTGAACACACCAGTGAGGGAGGGCGAGACGATCGGAGGGGTCCCGTACCATGCGGAATCGACCCTGCGTAGGTTCTTACTCGTATCTGGGTGCACCAGGAAATAATGACTGTCCATCAAGTTATGGAGAGGGCTGCAGATGGGCTCACTCTATGTGCGAGCGGCGGAATTCGGGCCCCCCATGCGGAACGTCGGGTTACTGCCAGCGTTGAAGCACAAGCCAGCTGCGCGTCCAGCCGACCCCTGCCAACGCTGTACCCACCGGCACCGAACATCGACACTGCATACGGCTGTATGCTCGCAGGGAGGACATCCGATGCCAGTCGAGTGCTACACTTTCAGTGCTTATGTGCACGATGTTACTTGC